CGACGACCTTGGCTTGTCGATTTGGTCTTCTCAGCGACGACAACAATAGATTGGCTTATTGGTGACAGCTTCGGATGATGAAGTGGCAACATATCGACTTCTTCTCCAATGATGACAACAACAGATCAGCGCATTGGGCTTCTTCTCCAGCAATGTAGCAACATACCACAAAGATTTGATTGGCATTGGCGACGATTCTATTTGGTGTCACAGGTTTGTTTTGGCGTCAGCTTCTGGACTTCCAACAGTCGGTTTCTAGGAAACTTGTTGTAATAGCTATTGCTGGAATCGGTTGGCTATTAGAATGTTGTAATAGTTGCAGAAACTCGTTTTCCGATTGGCTGAAGGTGGCTGGACTTTTTCTTGGCTGGAATTTTTGGAGTTTTTTGGCGTCAACTTGGTGCTAACTTTATTTAGAGTTTGGAGTTTTTTTTTTCTTTGGTATTTTGGGTGTTTGCAGTGGCCAAAGTTGGTGGTTGGATGGTTGTGTTTGATTGGATTTTAGTGTTTGGGTTGCGGTTGGGATTGATTGGATTTAGTGTTCGGGTTGCAATCATTTTCTCCTTCTTGGACTGACGATGGCTAGAGGGATGGTAACTCCTCGATATATGAGCAATTCTTTATATCAGAGAACAAGGCCTGATACTATGTTTGTTTGAAGAATTTAATGTTTTAATTAATCGATTTTCACTAAAGAGTTACCGAATTTATATAAGGAGTATACAATCTATTGAATCTCTTAATTATGTCAGTTACAGATTACACAATATACTAACATAATTAAGAGATTATAAGATATAAAAAATGTTATAAGTATGATAAATCTGATAAAATAATATTCATAAATCTTAACACTTAAAGGGATTTGAACCTGAGACCGTACACTTTAAACACATATCCCAACACTCAGTCTTCCTACTTGAGCTATCCAAAAGTGGGTTTATTAATCATATACAATGTTATCTAATTGGATATCAATGAATATTCTAAATCTGACAAAAAAAATGTATGATACAAACTCTTTTTCATGTGGAAAATTAAATTTAAATATTAATATTGAGTTATTTTTCAATAGCTTAGACTTTTTTATCTTAAATATTGAATACTTTTTCAATAACCCAAAGGGAGTACTCGTATAATAGATATACAAGATATTATTTACAATTATGCAAATTAAATAATACGAAAAATGTAATATAAGATTATACAGTAGAACTTCTCTATAGTTATAATGTTGCAACCAACTAAATTTATTACTATGAGGAGATTATAACTTAATAGAGGTGTAGTTACAAGAATTATTGTTTTGATTTAAAAAATTATTGTATTAATTAATTTCATATTTTATAATTCATGTTTTAGTAGTATTATAATTTCAATTCATTGTTTTAGTAGTATTATGATTTCAATTCATTGTTTTAGTAGCATTAAGATAGTTCGAAAATCGATATCAAAGAGTCATTGCTAAATCGAGTTATTAGATTTAACAACTTTACTACACTAATCAAATGAATATTAATGTCTTCCTCAACCATTCAAATGAGCAATAAGTCGAGTATGCTTTAATTGAAAAATAAATCATTACTAAAATTAGACAATAAGATAAAGGAGATAATCTTGAGGATGATAGTATGAAAATACCAAAAGTTTCATGCCAAGAAGCTCTAAACATGCTTGAGAGCTAGAAATATTTTGGCTTCAACAAGAAGACATCCATGCTGGCAACTTATTACGTACCCATAAGATAAAAGATATGATAACAACTTTAAAACATAAATCATTATCCAAACAACTTTAGATAAATATTTTATTTCATCTTAAACCTTTAATATAACATAGAATATATGTTTCGTAATATACATATAATTATTATTATGTAGAGATAAGTTTCTTAAGACGAAATCTAGAAAAATTATAACTTATTACAATATGAAATTTATTCTTATTTATAACTGGCTCAAGCTGAGATCATAATTTTTTATAACTATATAAAAGTTATTCCTATATAGAGTATCACTATAGAAAGTTTATAGTGTATCCCAACTTCTTTTTATGCTGAATTATTGTTCCATGGTCTGAAGTTATTCAGATGGGCCACATTCTTATGTTTATTTTAGGGATTTGTCACTTCATAAATTGACCAAATATTATGCTGATTGAAGAGGTGTCAATTAAACCTTTTCTTTTATTTGGTTTATATGTCCCACTATGCTTCTTGTTTCTTTATCATTGATTAATCCCAAATTTTTTCAAATAAGTGACACATATTATATAGTTTGATTGAGATGTTATAATCATTCACTTGTGAATTGTTTGATGGAACCTTTAAATCTTGTATGTATATTTCCTTGATTTACAACCATACCTTTAATATTATTTTAATTAGCTTGTTCTTCTTTTTCTTTTTCAAGAATTAATTATTACAATATTAATATTTCAATAATGTCTCATCAAAATTTTCTTCACTTTTTACTGTTTCTTCTCTTAAAATTATATTATAAGTTTTTTTTTTTTTTTTATATTTGATGAATTAATAAAGAATAATATTGTTGACTTCTTATAGTATGATCTAAATACAAATAACCCATATGATTATTTTCATCATAATTTTTTTAAATTAATATTTTATTTACTAAAAATTTCACAATTTTCTCAAATTTGCTTTAAAATCTTATGATATTTATAAATAATCTCAATTATATGATGGAAAATGAAGGAATGAGATAATACAGTTGAAGAGATAAAAGGATCTTGAAATCCAACTTGGCTTGCAAATAAGAAATGATATGAACACTTGAGATTTCCACTTGACATTGAATTGAAGGTGCCACCCACTAAAAGAAAATTAAAATTAAACAAATCAAAAGAAAGAAATTGAATCATGGGATTCAAGAGGCTGTGGCAGTTAAAGTCCCATATTAATGCTCTGTTCTGTCCACTTCATTGCTATCAAGTGTGTATCAATTGGCCCAATGTTAATGGAGATGTAACCTAAAGCCAATACAACACTGCAAAGTGCATTTTCAAATTGCAAGGTATATGTTCTATGGAGAATTTTTTCTATTTATCCACTTAGTTTAGATAATAAAATATTCAAGCACCAATATTAATGGTCAACCCATTAGGATTCACCATAAGATTAGTTCTACATCTAATGTTAGGCTTTTAAGATTCTATTGAGCTGGATAGAACAGGCTACCAAGCCTGGAAGCCCAAAAGATAAACGATACTGCAGAACAGAAGATCTAAAGATGCAGAAGTCCAGAATCCATATCACATTGACTTAGTTGGAGAATCAGTCATAGAAGCTCATGCAAAGAAGCTCAAGAGGGTTGCAAAACTTGGCTATTTCGATGTCCAGGAATAATATTTGAGAAATTTTCACCACTAGAAAACCCAACGATTCAGCTTTACTTCTGGTTGTTGCCTTTGTGCTGTTTTTAGGTTGATTTCGATTCACAGCCTACACTCAAACTACATTAGCTAATGGCAGCTTAAAATGATCTTAACAGGAAAACTCTTCACACATTTCCTTCTAAAGTACCCAGCAAGAAAATATCAGACTTGGAAGCTGTAGATAAAGAATCATAATCATTCATTAAAAAATTGCAGTCAACTGCAAGTGCCCAAAAGCTGTACATAAAAAAAAAAATGGATTTCAATTTCTATGTTTGAAAAGAATATGATAAACAGCACATACAACCTGTATCACATTTTACCACAAATCCGTGAGGTTCTCATTTTCACCCACAATCTGATTCTCTCACTAAGCTACAACATTTCGATAACACACTGTAAGTGCATATCTTGGCATCAAGTATGGCCATCACTCCGAGTGCCATGTATCGTGGAACTAGTGGGTTGAATCACAAAGGGAACTCGGGTAAATGTAATATCAGCACTCCTGATCTCTATCCATGGTATAAACAGGTATTTGCCAATTCTTGGTGTTCTTCTTTGGATCATCAGTCAGGCTGAGATCATTTTCGTCCTCCTTGTATGTTTTAATGAATGTTTTGGCTCCAACCAGACAAGCCTCTCAACCATGAATAACTGGTAGTTATTCTCAATCACAGGATCCAGGATCTGACTAAAGTTTGATGAATATGCTAATTTGTATCTGCAAATATCATCACCAAAAGTCAAGGTCAACTTCACCACAGCATGAAAGTTTTTACCAAATTTTATGTTACGTTAAGAGCATTATTCAAATAATTAAACTCCTAAGACCTTATATGAACTCGAGTATTACCTGACGGAGAGTGGTGAAAAGAATCCAGGTGTTCTCTCATTTGAAGCAATAAAAGGGTTCGTCCAGGTGGAACCCATTCTTTATCCTGCAGAGAATAAACTCTGGGCGTGTATCCCTGTCCAGATGAGGATGTAGGGTTCTTTCAACCCCATTCTTGTCCTTCCTGGTTTTCAGTATCACCTCTACGAACATGCATGGCATCATAATCACCAAGGAGTGCCTTTATCTATAGACATGAAACTTGTCAGGGCCTAAATAAACTATGAAATGGAATGAGCTTATGGTAGTCTTTTTCTAAATGCCAAAATAAAAAGCCGAAGAAAAGAGAATTACAGAGTCTGCTAAAGTGTCAAACTTCAACCAGTCTAAATACGTATATGATATGTTTTTTTCAAATCCATCAAAATTAAATCATCCTCCATTCCCTTGGCCAATCTAATAACAGAAAAACAGTGATGTAAAATTATCTTTAGATATGACAGCCCTTATCCCAAATAATTTTGGTTGGCAATAGATAAGGCACTGGTAAAAGTTATCAACTATAGTTTAACGCCTTTGCGCCTCCACTTTCTTGTGCTGCATATTAACCAGAAGCAATACTATACAATTAATTTGATGCTTTAAAACATTAAAAATGAAGACTTCACATGCTCTGATGAATTTGACAAATAATGGCCACCCTAAACATGCTTCCAATAATGAAATGTCTTCAAATTTTCAAACTATCAGCCAATGTTGCTTTACACAACTACTTCAAATTTGACAAGCCATCTACTCCACTATATTGCAAATCATATCTTCAATAAATAATGAGTTAGAATTCATCACTAATTACTTTAATTTTTCTCTTTTCGAGATAAATATTCTTCAAGTAGAACTAGCAGACATCTCGGACTTCAATAGAACCTAAAGATTAGTTCTCATATTTTACACCTACAGGAGCCAATCTTATTGCCTCCACATATGCAGGCCACTAATCCCATCCTTCTTTATTAGTCATCAAACCACAAAGCAACGAGATCTTACTACTTAATCTTAACATGCCATTCTTGGCTTGACAGATGGTAATATGATTCTATACTAGATTCAATTTAATGCAAACTCTACAAAAGTATGACTTGAGAACCCACTTTATCACCCTCCCCATCTATGAAAAAAATATAGTCATACAAATTTCTATATTTGATTTGGTTCAATGTCGTCTCTACAGGAGTGATATGAAATTAAGCTTATCACCTTCCCCATCTATGAAAACAGTATTAAAGCTCCTCAGTAGATGTGACCCAAGAATTAGTCACAACCGCATAAATTATTTATTAAATTATTTACATGACACAAGCATCAAGGAATGTAAGCACTGTCCATTGGTATGTTTTCTCACTAGCACAGATAATCAAGAACTTCCTTTTCCCCCTTTTAAAAAATTAAAAAATTGATGGCATTATACATACAAACCTGTTCAGCGCATCCCTCAATTTTTCTGCAGCCATTGATGGAAGAAATGAATGTGGCAGCAGTATAGCACTCCGGTTTTTTCGATCCTTGCATTCCATGAACCTAAATGACAAAGATAATTAGTGTGCAAAACTTGCAAGATCAAAGCTTAACTCATCCATAAGAAAAGCCACACTTCCATTTTCCAACAAGCAAAGGCATCAAAATATTAACTCGTTAATAAAGAATAGCGACAACTTGCATTTTGCAACAACAAATGGCTAAAAAAAGGAACAATGTCTTCAACATCTTTTAAAATGGAAAAGACTAACGTAAATTCAGATAATGATCCAATTCAAACTTAATGATAGTTAAAGACTGTCAACCAGAGAGACAACTCACTAATTTAGGATATCAAAGCCAATCATTTGATTAAACTCAAGTACACGGCAACATGCACAATTAAGCTCTAAAAGAAGGACACAAAGGTTAGTAACAAGAAAAAATTCCCAATGTATGGCCACTTTCTCCAAATCAATCAATGCTCATATTTTCATAAGAACACACAAACAAGGCAAATTCAAATATTCATAAGCATGTCAATATAAGATATCTTCTCTTTCTATTAAAAAAAAATAATAAAATTAAGTGCCCAGAATATTATATGACCTACAATGAAAGACAAGTACATGGTTTTTCAAACTCAGTTACTTAATTCTACTAAGACAAACCAACTATAAGATTCTGAGTCTTACAAAAAGGTGGCAACTGAAAGCCAGCATAACAAAAATATATCAAATTACCATGACAGGGGATTAGCAGTTCGATTGATGAGCAAGAGATTTGAGTAGCGAGTATCATTTCTGAGATCAACTCGACTAACGCCTTCCACATGTGCAACCCCTCTAGCTCCCAACTTCATACTTGTCATTAGTACCCGATACCACATTTTCGAATCGTCTAGAATCACCGGTACAGTTTCAGATATAAGATCCACATCGTACAAAGATTCAATAGCACAAGAGTTATCTGCCCGCCTACCATATGAAAAGGAAGCAAGTTCAGATTATGCAATTCCTTTTTGTCAACTGACAATAAGTTTAGAAGATCATTAGTGATAGAGATTTCTTTCACAAAACAATGCACCTGATTTTGGAAAATCACCCAACTTTAGGGAAAAAACTTCAATAAATTACCTTTCCTCTGAACTTTTATTGTCAGATTGATGAAGAATGCCTTTCGCATTGTGCATCGGATTGATACAGATCCTAGAAGGCATAACTAAAGTTCTGCAACAATTAGAAACTAATAGGAGTAAAACACTAAACAAAAATACACAGATAAGAGAGAGAGAAACGAACCAATCAACTGTTCATTACATAGTAACAAAGATGCTTAATGAAACTGGTGCCACTTAACATCTTATAATAATTTTAACTTAAACTTCAGTTCCTCATAATCAAATGTGAAGCCACTGCTGAGATCCCAGCATTCAAATCCCTAACTTTCTTTACTAAAACTAATCAGCAACTCAAATTCACCTAATCTTCCTAACTTTCTGGACTCAATTCCCCAATAAAATAAACAATTCAACAGAAAAATCCCACAAGCTCAAAAGGGTTTCAATCAAAAAGTTACCTTTTCAAAAACATGGCTTCTTCAAGGGCACACCTGAGGCTAGATTCTTGATGACCAAGGCCAGCACAAGGTTCACAGACTTTACCGGGGCAGTCAATTCTGCCACCCCAATACAAGTACTTTTCATGAAGAGTGTGTTGTCTCTTGTTCCTGGGTCTTTTTAAGTTTCTGAGGGAGAATGAAGAAGAGAAGGAGAAGCCATTTATTGAGAAAAGAGCGGAGAACATGCAAAGAAATGCAATGACTGATAAGAAGATGAGGAGAATCAAAATTGTGGATCTGGGTTTTGGCTTCAGCTTCAAGGTTTTGGGAGTTGTCGCCATTGGAGCTAAAGGATGAAGAGAGAAACCAACAACTGAGAAGAAGAAAACGAGTGATGCTTTGCTTTGCTTGATTACAGATTTGAGTTTTGGGCTTCATACTTCCATAGTCAACAACCAATTTCCCAGAGGTTTCCTTTATTAAATAAAAATTCAGTTATTAACTTTTAACTATTAAAATAATCAGTAAAATATATATACAAATATTTATCAATTTAAAACAGTATATATTTTAACGATTTATTTATAATTTATTAACAATTAATAATTTTTTGTTATTTCATTAATTGCTTGAGAGATTTGTGATAGATTAGGCATGACAGTTTTCTTCGGAATTCTAGGGACCCGTCTCTCCTTGCCTCGCCGCGTCTCGTATATAATATATAAAATTAAAAATTATATATATATTTTTCACTAATATCCATATATTTCACATAATTATATAATTATTTTACCTATATAAACCTATATTTTCTCAAATTTCTCTCACCTTAAACAATTGAACAAAAACAAACTCTAACCCATATTTATGTAAAATTAATTATGTTTAAACGACTAATTTAAATGTTTGTCATGTGGACGGGAATTAACTATTGTGTTTGGTAATATTTAAATTAATTTATGTTTATGTAAAATTAATAGGGCGGGGACGGGTCTCTAATATTCCCCTTTGGTGTGGGAAAGAAGAATTTTTGTCATCCCCGTAATGGGGATGGGGTAGGACCTAAGGGTGAAGAGTGATTTTGAGGACAATAACGGGTATGGTAAATGAGATCCCCACCCTATCCCATCCCGTCCCATTGCCATGCCTATTATAGATTTGTTATATATCAAATCTCCTGGTATATGTTTTTAACTCTGGGGCCTGGGTATAGTTTTGTAGATAGTACGTAAAACCCCTCGTATATTTTCGAAATTACAGAGAGCACAGAGAAAAAAATTTAATTGTAGGTAACCCCCGATGTTGATGGTCCGCTTGGTTTTACTTTTGCCATTAAAAAAGTGTCGGATCCAGAAAAGACAATTATACCCTTCTCTTAATGTAATTATATTTTGTAGACCATTTTAACCTTATATTAGGCTAGAAATACCGAAAATTCCTCATATTAGATGAAGACAGTTGGCAAGAATTTGACGGGCTACAGAATACAGATTACTAAATGATTACACTGCAATGACTAAAATGCCACTATATATTATTGTTTTTTTTACTTTAAAAACTTTTTGGCCTTCAAGTTTAACAACACCACAAGCCTCTCCTCATCTCTATATCAGTTCATCAAAAACTCAAATATGCTTTACCCATTACAAAGCAAAACGAAAACTGTGAGAAGTGTTACAAGAAGTGAATCAAGCAATATAAAAAATTAATTTATATTCACATGAGGCAGAGGGTAAACATGAAGAGGATTTAATTGATATTCACAATAGAGTACTTGCATGGTGAGATGCAAACTGAAATTCAAAAAATTAGGCAACAACATGCATCCAAAAGGAACTACACACACCTGATTTTCGTGTACATAGTCATATTTGTTCAGGCATGTGTAATTTATTTTTTGAAATGATTGTAATAAGAGGATTATGTTAGTATTGACGATAAAATGATTGAAATATCATATTAGCATTATAAGAACGCAACTGAACACCGGTATAAAAGTTAATAGTAAATATCTATTACACAGACATGTTTTTCAACCAAATAAATCCTAACATATTAAACAAAAAATGGGGTCAAACTATGATAGCCTGATAAGTTGCATAAATTTAGCCTTTTTAGGTTTGCTTTTATATCCTTCCAGTTAATTTCGTATTTGTTTCCTTTGTTTTGATGTTAGTTTTCATTAAGTTTGAGATGTGAGTGGTCAGCTATTGATTTGGAGAATTTTTGTGATTTTCATGCTTTAATTGAGTAGATTGGAGCATTGAAATGAAATTGAGTAGATTGGAGCATTGGAATGAAATTGAGATTCAAAGCTTGAAGAAATTAAGATTAGCTGACAATTTTGAAGGCCATGGCCATGCCTTGGTGGTTCACCATGGCCATGGTGGTGGAATGAGAATAAAATATCAAAGACAGGAAGCACCATTGCCTAGGCCGTGGTGACGTACATTTGGACATGGCCAAGGCCGTGTTGGACACTTTTAGGGTTTTTTTTTTTTTTTTTTTTTTTTTTAAGTTTTTCTTTCCTTGTTTGCTCAAGACTCTTTTGGGTATTTAAATGTGGTTGAGATTACTTGTTAAAGGCCGAATTTTGCCTATTTTTGGAGAGAGATTATTGTGTAACAAAAGAAAAAAGAGAATCAAGAACAAAATTCATTGTTTTTACTTTTTCAATATGATTTATTTCTTGAATTCTACTCTTATTTCTTTTATTATGAACTAATTTTCTCAGGCTAAGACTAGGGTTAGTCTATTTATAGATATGTGATCAATCTTTTGCTCTATGGTCAGTGAATTATTTTTCTAATGATGAGCTTATATTATGTGCTTAATGCTATTAGGAACCTGATCAATTTTTGATAGAATTGTTTTGTGTGATTGAGACAGAGAGGAGACATCACATGAGTGCTCTAGTAATATAGGCTATGAATTAATTGGATATAGAGATATATGAATTGATACATGTAATAGTCATAGGCATGATTAACTTGTGCTGAAAGCTAGAGGATTTCATAAAGCTTAATGCTCGCCTATTTCATTAAATCTATATAGAGATATCTAGGTTGTGAGATAGAAGTAGAATTCATATTGCTTGAGAAAGAATATTGGTTAACCTAGGAAATCCCGTTGTCACATTAATTAAATAAATTCATTGACCAAAATAAATTGAGGGGTGTAGAGAAGTTATAGATGAGCCTCAAGTCTTAGCCGTTTTCTCTCATTGAATTCTTAAGTTTAGTTTTCTTGCAATCGTCCGTTTCTAATATTTTAGCTTTTGATATTTTCAGTTTTAAAGATCACCTTTCTAAGTTTTGATTATCTAGATAAAGTTAAGACTAATTAACATTTCAATACTTGTTTACGCAATCCCTTGGGTACGATAACATGTACTTTGTTATACTATATTATTTGAGACTAGTGCACTTGCTAGAAGTTGTTTCAAACGACACAACAAGTTTTTGGTGTCGTTGTTAGGGATTGCAGTTAGGCAATATTGAAATCATTAGATTAGCTTTACTTTAGTTCTTGTTCCATTTTTTATATACATATATAGTTTTTGTTCAAGTTCTCTTGTTTTCAAATTTTCTAGTGTATGACACACACTAGACAAAGATTAGAGATTCTTGAACCTTTTGACCCAGAAATTGAGAGAACACTATGAGCATTGAGAAGAAGGCAAGCAAGGAACATGACAGACAACAACAATAATAATAATAATCAAGTGATTCCACTTTTGGAGAATCTCGCAGAAGCTACAACCCCACATTCTTTAATGGATTATGCAATGCCGCCATTGAGTGGCACTTCTTCTAGCATTAGGAGGCCAACCATTGCAGCAAATAACTTTGCAATTAAATCTACGATTATTCAAATGATTCAGTCAGCCTGCCAATTCAGTGGTTTAGCCCACGAGGATCCAAATGCTTACATTAGAAATTTCTTGGAGATATGTGATACATTCAAGTAGAATGGTGTCACAGACGATGCAACTAGATTGAGACTTCATTGAGAGATAAAGCCAAGAATTGGCTAAACTCTTTGCCTACAGAATCTATTACAACTTGGGATGCATTGGCTCAATGCTTTCTAGCTAAGTATTTTCCTCCCTTTAAAACTACGAGGATGTGTAATGATATCACTAATCTTATGCAGGTAGATGGAGAGTCATTATACGAAGCATGGGAGCATTACAGAGAGTTGTTGAGGAAATGCCCACATCTCATGGATTACCAATTTGGTTATAGGTACAAACTTTTTATAATGGTTTAATTCCTGCTAACCATTATATAATTGATGCAACTTCAGGAGGTGTAACGCCCACTTGAGATACGTAGCCATTGTTTATGGTATGGCCTAAAGGGTTACTGAATTGCTCCTAAATGAGTTTGTATATTGTTCATGTTGTTTGGTTGGCCCTTGGTTGAGTTTATGTTTTGGGTTTGGTTGAGTTTATTTTTTGGGTTTGGTTGAGTGTTTACCCTGGAATTGATCAAGACTTGGCAGATTTTGGAGTTGCAGCCTTCGCCGGGGCGAGGAAGAAGCTTCGCCGCGGCGATGTCGGCTCTGAATTTGCAATGTCGATTCTGTAATTCTTTACCGGGGCGACAAAGAATCCTTCGCCGTGACGAAGGGCCGGCTGAGTTTTGTTTTAGTTTTCTAGAGAATTCTTTCTTAAGGGCAAAATGACCATTTTACCCCTAATTAGCAGGAAAAGTGGGGAGTAAAATGCAAGGAAATTTCATGGAGAGTAGTGTAAAATGGGGGTGAGTTTGTAAAGAATTAAAGGATAAAGGTGGAATTTTTAAGAAAGAGTAAGGGCAAAATGGGAAGAGTATATATTATATGAGCTAATAAGGGTTTAGTTCTCCAAACCCCTTCATTTCACCCATTTCCACCGCCTTTTCATCCCTCATTTTCTCTCAATTCCTCACTCAATCTTCCAAGGGATTTTTGAGAATTTTAAGTTGGAATTTGACAAAGAATTGATCCTAAGCAAGAAGAGGTAAGAATCCCTACTCTAGATATGAGTTTTATTTATGTAAGGGTTAAGTTCTTACTAAGTTTATGCTTAGGAAATAAGGGAAAGCTAAGGTCCAACAAGAGTAGAGAGTTTTAGTGAAGACTACTCAAGTATGAGGTAAGTAAATCCAACTCAAGCTAAAGTTTAAGAAATTCTTGAGTAGAGATTTATTTATGCATGTATATATGATGCTTATAGAGAAACTGAGTAGAGATATATGTTTGTTTGTTGAGAAATTGAGTTGAGATGAGTATTCATGTTATATTTGTTGGATATTTCCTTTATGGGAAGTGTTGATGTGTGATGAGTTTGAGATGAAGTTGGAGGAGATTGAGTAGATATTTTGGGAGTGTTCTTCTATGATAGGAACCATGTCCATAGAAGGGAGTTTCCTCTCATTTTGGATGGTTAAAAAGAGAAGTAGAGTTGTAGTTAGAGAAGAGTTTTTGTATGCACATGAGTTGTTTGATGAAATGCCTAAGAGAAATATGAGTATGATTAGTCAACCTTAATTCTTGCAACATGGCATCTTGGCATCTCCTAATTGCATTAATGAGCATAGACCACCCATGTGCATTTACTTGTGTTTTGGGTAATAGCTTGAGAAAGAGTAGAGAATTTTGAGTATAAGCTACCCTATGAGTAATAGCTTAAGAAAGAGTAGAGAACTTTGTGAATAGATTACTCTAAGAGTTAAGCTATACTATGAATACTAACTTGAGAAAGATATGAGTATTAGTTTGAGCGAGAGTAGAGCGAGAGTAGAGATCTTTGTGAATAAACTACTCTAAGAGCAAAAGAAGAGAATAGAGTAGGTTCTGCGATGGGGAACCCGTGAGTGATGAGTAAAGGCACAAGAGTGGGTGCTTTGTGATCCCCAGCCGTGCCTCCGGTAAGATGGGGCCGTGACCATCACAAAAAGTGGAACATGAGGTTCCAGCCGTGCCTCCGGTAAGATGGGGTTGTGACATTTAGAGAGAGAGAGAAAGAATACACTCACATGGTCAAGGGTTCCGAATCCATGCATGACCGAGTCCGATCAGCAAAGAAGGAGTAGAAGTCACGAAGAGTGGGTCGGTGCTTTGTGATCTCCACCTAGCCGTGCCTCCGGTAAGATGAGGCCGTGACATGCAAGTGAGGAAGAATGAGCAAACATGAGAAAGAATAAAGAGAGACAATGAGTAGGGTTACAAAGAGTGGGATGAGTACCCAGCCGTGCCTCCTGTAAGATGAGGCCGTGACCTACAACAGAAAATTAATAGAAAAGAGTTATGAGAAAGAGAGACAGAAAGAGAATTAGTAGAAGTCACGTAGAGTGGGAGAAGTCCCGACTGTGCCTCCGGTAAGATGGGGCCGTGACATTCAAAGAGCGAGTTAGTAGAAATGAATTATGAGAAATGAGAATGAGATAATAGAGAGAATTAAAGAATGAGAAAGCTTGAGAAAGAATGAGATAGAAAGAGAGAGTATGAGAAAGAATGAGAGAGTTTGAGCTAGTACGAATAGAGAGTATAAGAAAGAAACATGCAGTTCTTTTGTATTAATTGCATGTACAGCTCATACAGGCATGCACCATGATTTTCCTTCATGGTGAGTATGACGAGAATAAGAGAAAGAACCATGATTTTCCTTCATAGTGAGTATGACAAGAATAAGAGAGAGAACCATGATTTTCCTTCATGGTGAATATGATGAGAATAAGAGAGAATCATGATTCTCCTTCATGGTGAGTAAGAATAAGAAAAGGAGAAAAGAGAATAAGAACAGAGAGAAAGAAAGAATAAAAAGAGCATAACAGAGTTAAAGGAGAATAAAAGTATTAGAAAGAAAGAGAAAAACAGTGAGAATTAGAAATAGAAGAACGATAGAGTAAGGAAGAACCAAAAAGTGAGTTGCGGGGATAGGTGGTAGAGGATTTACTTACTAAGCATTGTTGTGCTCACCCCGTTGTTCTTCCCTATTTTGCAGGAAATAGGAGCAGCGGTCGGATGGACGTCGAGGAGCGGAGAGTATTGGCACCACTATCCACTAGCTATGATGTTTTGTATTAAGTAGAAAGTTTTAATACATAGTATTTTGTATTTGTAAAGAATTCTATTTTATGAGTAAAGAAAAAAAAAATTTGAGCCCACTATCTTTCATACGCTATGTATATCTATAATTTACATAGTATGTATTATAAGAATAGTAGTAGAGAGGAGGTGTTACAGGAGGCACTATAATGGAGAAGACACCAGAAGCAGCGTATGAATTATTGGATGAGATGGCTTCAAACAATTACCAGTGGCAATCTGATAGAGTGCCACAAAGGAAGGCTGCAAGATTATATGGAATGGACGTTATTACAACAATTTCTGCTCAATTAAAAGCATTGAACAAAAAGATTGATAATATGAGTGCCCCAGTCATGCAAGTGAAAAGCATGAGTTGTGATCTATGTAGAGGTAACTATCCAAACAATGAATGTTAGGTAGGTAATCCGTCTGCTAATTATGCTAAAAGTGCTAATTCTATTGGTATTTTTCATAGGCAACAACAAAATAATCCCTACTCCAGTACTTACAACCCTGGTTGGTTGAATCACCCAAATTTTTCATGGAGCAATCAAAATGCAGTGAAACCACCACTCCGGGTTTTCCTCCTCAAGAAAAGAAGCCCCATTTGGAGGAACTAGTGACGAAGTTCGTAAACTCCACTGAAACAAGATTTCATAATCAAGAAGCTTCGATCAGAAATTTGGAGACTCAGATGAGGCAGTTGGCGAATTCGATATCAGGGAGAGCTCAAAGAACGTTGCCAAGTGACACAAAGAATAATCCCAATGAGCATGTGAAGGCAATTACAGTAAAAAGTGACAAGGAAATTGGGCATAAAGAGCAAGAGAAAGAGGAGGCACCTAAAATGCAACCAGACAACATTGCTAAAAACTTGCTTGAACCTAAGAAGATAGAGATTCAGCCTCATTTCCCTCTTGCATTGAAGAAGCAGAAAGTTTATCAGCAACTTGCAAAATTTTTAGATATTTTTAAGAAATTGCATATTAATATTCCATTTGCAGATGCTCTTCTTCATATGCCTAGCTATGCAAAGTTCTTGAAGGAGATCCTTTCCAACAAGAGAAAGCTAGAAGAGCAAGAAATAGTAAAACTATTGAAGAATGTTCAGCAATTTTGCAAAATAAATTGCCACCAAAATTAAAAGATCCAGGGAGTTTTACAATACCTTGCATTATTGGTTCACTGTCATTTTTCAAAGCTTTATGTAATTTAGGTGCTAGCATTAATTTAATGTCATTATCTATTTTCAGGAAATTGGGACTTGGAAAACCAAGGGCCACTACAGTATCTCTACAGTTGGCTGACAGATCAATTAAATATCCAAGAGTTATTGTGGAGGACGTGCTTGTTAAGGTAGATAAGTTTATTTTTCTTGTGTTGGACATGGAAGAAGATGTTGAGATACCTCTCATTCTAGGACGACCATTTTTAGCCATAGGTAAGGCATTGATTCATGTGCAAAGAGGTGAGTTAATTCTTAGGGTAGGAGATGAAAAAGTAGCATTTGATGTTTTTAAAACTATGAAACACCCTTTAGAAGATAACACATGTTTTAGAATTGATGCTTTTGATCCTTTGGTTCGTGAGTATTTTCAAGATAACAGGTATGAAGATCCATTGGAAACTTGCTTGGTTGATTCAAAAGAAATGGAGGGGAGAATAAGCACCTAATTGAGAAGATTGTAGCAAGTTTGGAGGCCAATCCACCTTATAAAAGGGTCGTGTGACAAAAATTTAAAACATTGGAAAGGCCAATATTGTCTCGAACAAAGCCCTCAATTGAAGAGCCACCAAATCTTGAACTGAAACCCTTACCTACTCATTTAAAATATGTATTTTTTGATGAGTCTTCTTCTTTACCTGTTATTATTTCATCTTCTTTGACAGGTTTGATGGAAGAGAAATTATGAAGGGTGTTGAAGGAGCATTTGGCTAGACAATAGCTGACATAAAAGGAATAAGTCTTTCGATTTGCATGCACAAAATTCTCATGGAAGACAGCTACAAGCCGACAGTTCAGCCTCAGAGGAGACTCAACCTGAGCATGCAAGAAGTGGTAAAGAAAGAGGTGATTAAACTACTCGACGTAGGTATTATCAATCCTATCTCAGATAGTTTATGGGTAAGTCCTATTCAAGTAGTACCGAAAAAATGAGGTATGACTGTGGTGAAAAATGAAAATAATGAATTGATACCTACTAGGACAGTCACAGGTTGGAGAGTGTGCATAGATTATAGAAAATTAAATGATGCCATTAGGAAAGACCACTTCCCTTTACCCTTTATTGATTAGATGTTAGAGAGACTTGCTGGGCATGAGTTTTATTGTTTTCTTGATGGGTATTTTGGGTATAACCAAATAGCTATAGCTCCAGAGGATCAGGAGAAAACCACTCTCACTTGTCCTTGTGGCACATTTGCATTTAGAATGATGCTTTTTGGTTTATGCAATGCACCTGCCACTTTTCAAAGATGCATGATGTCCATTTTTCATGATATGGTATAAGAATTTTTTGAAATTTTTATAGATGATTTTTCAGTTTTTGGTTCCTCTTACGATACATATTTGAATAATTTGGCTTTAGTTTTGCAAAGATGTAAAGACACTAACCTAGTTTTAAATTGGGAGAGGTGTCATTTTATGGTGCACGAAGGAATAGTTCTGGGTCATAAAATCTCCCAAAAGGGGATTGAAGTGGATGCAAAGGTGGAAGTGATTGAAAAATTACCCCCACCTACATCAATGAAGGCCATGAGGAGTTTCCTTGGACACACAGGATTTTACAGATGATTTATTAAAGATTTTTCTAAAATTTCAATGCCTCTGTCTAATTTATTAATTAAATATACTCCTTTTGATTTTAATGCTGAATGTTTGCAAGCCTTCCTCATTCTGAAGGAAAAGCTTGTCACAGCACCAATTATGGTGGCACCTGATTGGAGTTTTCCATTTGAACTGACCTGTGATGCTAGTGATGTAGTTATTGGTGCTGTCCTCGGTCAAAAAAAAAAAAAAAAAAAAACAAGGTATTCCAAACTATATACTATGCTAGTCGAACTTTAAATGTGACTCAACAAAATTATGCAACCAATAAAAAGGAACTTCTAGTGGTAGTATTTGCATTTGAAAAATTTCATTCATACCTTGTTTTGAGTAAAGTAATTGTCTACACTGACCATTCAGCCTTGAGATATTTACTTGCTAAGAAAGACAAACCTAGGTTAATTAGATGGATTTTGTTGTTACAAGAATTTGACCTAGAAATTAGGGATAAGAAAGGTGTAGAGAATGTGGTTGTTGGCCATTTATCTAGGATAGAAGACACAAATCCTAAAAAAGGAGATGAAATACCCATAAGAGAGGAGTTTTCTTGTGAACAATTATTTGCCATTTTAAATGCGTCTATTCCATGGTAGGCACATTGTATTGTCACAATGTTCTTCCTTTAAATCTTACTTTTCATCAATGAAAGAATTTTTTGTCTGATGTTAAGCATTATTTGTGGGAAGAACCATATTTGTTCAAAGTTTGTGTAGATTAGAGTATCCGACGATGCATGCCTGAGGAGGAGATGACATCCATTTTACATCACTACCATGATAGAGAGGTAGGTGGCCACTTTGGGCCAACCAAGACAGCTGCAAAGGTACTACAAGCAGGTTTTTACTGGCCTACGTTGTTTAATGATGCTTATGCTTATGTAGCGTCTTGTGATAGGTGCCAAAGAACAACGAATATAATTAGGAAACAGGAGATGCCCTTGAACAATATTATTGAATGTGAATTATTTGATGTTTAGGGGATAGACTTTATGGGGCCTTTACCTAATTCATTTTCCAATAAATACATCCTTGTGGTAGTCGACTATGTTTCCAAATGGGTGGAAGTTGAGGCATTTAGAACAAGTGATGCTAGGGTGGTTGTTAAATTTTTAAAGAAACATATATTTACTAGATTTGGCACCCCTAGGGCAATTATTAGTGATGGTGGGACACATTTTTGTAATAAACAGTTTGATAATCTTTTGAACAAATATGGGATCACACATAAGGTTGCCACTTCTTATCACCCACAAACTAATGGTCAAGTAAAGGTATCTAATAGGGAACCTAAACGAATTTTAGAAAAAATTGTTACCTCTAGAAAAGATTGGTCTTTGCAGTTGGATGATGTATTGTGGGTATATAGAACAACAGCATTTAAAACCCCCATGGGTATGTCCCTATATAGACTAGTTTTTAGAAAAGCATGCCATTTCCCTATTGAATTGAGCATCAGGCATATTGGGCTACAAAATTTCTTAACTTTGATATGCAAGCTATAGTGAAAACAGGTTACTGCAATTGAATGAGATGGATGAATCTCGGAGTCAGGCTTATGAGAATGCGAAGATCTACAAAGAGAGAACAAAAAAATGGCATGGCAAGCATATCACAAAAAGAGAGTTTGTTAAAGGGGAAATGGTGTTGCTCTATAATTCTAGACTCAAACTTTTTTCCAGGTAAGTTAAGGTCTAGATGGTCAGGACCTTTCACGGTCACCAAGGTGTTTCCTTCTAGTGCCATTGAGATTTCCCACGAGGAGAAAGGCACATTCAACGTGAATGGACAACGTCTCAAGCATTATGAATATGGAGGATGGGAAAAAGATAAATCTCCATTGCACTGAATGAACTAGAATAAGCAAGCGCAAAAATTCAAGCTAACGACTTTAAATTAGAACTTTATTTTATTTTATTTTTATTTGTCTTTTATATTTTTGCATTTTTTTTATTCTTTCTTTGCTACATTTTAATTCTGTTGTCGTTTTTTGTTTTGTTATCGTCGGAACAAGGAACGAGTTTGGGGGAAGCTTGAGTGATCAAAGAAGAAGACAATTTTAAGTAGAATAGAGCATGGCCTACCCTATGTCATTTTACATGGTCATGTCCCTTAAAAAAAAAAAAAAAAAAAAAAAAAAAAAAAAAAAAAAAACTAGAGACCAGCATCACCAGTGTAAATGATCACCTACTCATTCTTGAAGCCAAATTTGACCGCTATATGAGCCCAAATTCCTAGTTGTTTTGTTCTCTCAATTTAGGGAAGTTTCTGTCTCTCATTTTCAGTTTTTTTTTTTTCTTCTCTTTGTTTTTCATGCATTGAGGACATTGCATTTTTAAAGTTTGGGGGAGTGGGCAGTTTGGTTTGTGTTGCATTGTTGATGGTCTATTTCTTTGTGTTGGTGTGTTTGTTTTTAGGAAGTGTTTATTTTATTTGTGTTTTTAGTTTTCATTTTGCTTTTGTTTTTGTTGCATGGTGTTTATTGTGTTTGTGCTTTTGACACAATCCCAAGCGAAACTTAGTGGAGTCCCTAATTTTTATTTTTTTTTATTTTTTTATTTTTTTATTTTTTGTATGAACTTTGTAATCATTTGGAGTAGTGGTACTTTCAAGTCATTGAAAGGATTTGAACATACTTATATCTTTAGGAATGCTAAAGAGTATGTGAGTCTGGATGGTTGTGCAATTTCTAGTTTATTACTTGACTTTGTTGTGTACTAGCTGAGACTTGTCTTCACTCCCTTGAAAAAAAAAAAACTGCAATTATAGTTTCTTATGTTTGAATAAACTACTTTGTTGTCTTGAGCTACTTAGTAACCAGGAGTATTCATGAGACTCATGTTTACTTTTTTGTCAAACCATGGCTAGAATTGTGAGTATGCAAAGCACTTTAGGTGTTGTGAAATTGCTGAGTAATCGAGGGTAACCATCATCAATAGGTAAAAAGGTACTGTGACAATCTAATGAAACTCATCGAAAAAAAGAAAAGAGAAAAAAAGTGCAAAAGGAAAAAAAATTAGGGGGTTAAGTATAAAGTCTTGGTAAGGCATGATCTTGTTAGGGAAAGATTAGAGTTGCACAATTAGCTGGGTTGTATTTTTGGAAGCATGAATTTCATTTAAAGCATGTTGGTTTTCTTTCCTTGGTCTTGTAACCGTCGCAAATTCGTGATGATTGCTGAGTTTGTTTTTCTGATATTCTCTTTACTCAGGGAGGAGCAAAGGATTAAGTTTGGGGGAGTTGATAAGTTTCATAAATTTAGGGTGCGTTTGGTACAATATTTTTATCCATATTCTCAACCGGATTTTACAGATAACTTTTGGTTCCATATTTACACAATGGAATCTTGAAAATAAAATCCTAACAGTTTTATGACCGTTTGAAGACAGTTTGCAGTCCTCCTTTTATTTCACAGTTTCACTTTTCTTATTCACTGCTTCTTCACTTCACCACTTTAGTTTACATTACCAGCTTCTTCACTTCACCATTTCAGTTTACATTACCAGCTTCTTTACTACTTCTTCACTTCAGCATTTCAGTTTGTGGTAGCGTGCCGAATGCTCCAAATTAATAACCTTACTAACCTAACTACTAAATTGCATATAGGGTAAGCAAGAGTCGATCCCACATGGAATGATTCGATTAATTCCTATATTCTATCCAATAACCACAACGAAAACAATAGAAAAATAAAATAAAATAAATCCTATACAGTAAACATGACAACAGTAATGAAAGGGGTTGTAGTCAATGTAATCTAAAGTGAAACAAATAAATCTCCAATGGTAGAAAATATTAGATTAAAAACAACCAGTTCTCGGTTCAAGATCCACCTAAACATGCATTGGACACGAACTAACCGTAACATCATTCTATCTCGTTATTATGGAATTACTGACCCTAGGAAACAACAAGTTCTGTTACCCGAATTTTCCCTCAATAGTCACTATTGAAATAAGCTCTTCACTTAGATTCTAACCCTTGAACAACCTAGAATAAGCTATCTAAGTTTAATTCAATGGCAGCCTTAAGAATTAAGAAAATAGATCAATCCAAGCAACAATCACGCAAGATTGGATTATTGAACTTAGGTTATGTTATTCAAGGTGACAGACT